GAACGGCCGGCAGCAGTCCGGGGGCTCGGCTTGCAGACCTTGCTCGTGTTTGGATTAAATTGGCCGCCCGAAAGACGCGCCACAGCAGCGTGGGGAGGAAGAGCGAGAAGAAGTAGCCGTGGCAGCAGCAGCAGCAATAGTTACAGTAGTAATATCAAGACGAGGAGGAGGAGGAGGAGGAAGAAGAAGCAAGGCGAAAGCGGAGTGCCCGTGGCCGTAACGGGCGGGAAGGCGGGCTTGGGCGGCGGCGGCGGCGCTGCTCGGGGGACTGAAGGGGAGCCAGAATGAGCAGGTAATTGTTTGCTGCTGCTCCTGCTGACCCATTTCACCGAGCCCCTTCCCGCTCTCTTTTTCGCGGCACGTAGATCTGCATTTGTCACTGACTGTCCCCCGCGACCCCTCCCCCCGCGACCCACCGTAGCCTCGGGCTCTAATCTCCAGTCTGGAGAACTAACAATAAAATAAGATTGGGAGGCTTTGGCGGTGGGGAGGAGGGTTGACTCGCGCGCCTTGGCGGCATCCGGAGCAAAAGAAGTATGCCCTGGTACTGGATATTTCCGGGTGGGGAGGAACGCGAGGACACACGAAATGCCCGAAGGACCGCTAATGGTCGAGTTAGCGTGTGCCCCAAGTGATGATTATCACGCTGGGAAGAAAAGACAGCAGAAGGCAAAAGTAGCTGTCCTGCACACTGGTTGGGATTGTGGATGTGTTTCCTTTTTCTCGGGAAAAAAAATCAATATTTTAAATGGAGGGATATTTGCCATTATTATCATCATTATTATTTGCAACACTAAGGCAAGGATTCCTGTAGGATCTACAAGAGGGCTCCTTTGTGTTTGTGGCAAACTTAACTTATCAGTGTTCCCTTAAGAGGTGACACTCTCATTGCTTTTCAGCCTGCTTTGATTTGCAAGTTGCCCTTTCTGCTAATGCCCCCCCCCCAGGATAAGTTGCAAGTTGCACCGTGTAACCTTTCCCCCACTCTTCTGCTCCGCTGGCTTGAGTTTTGTTTCTCTGCAGGTTATTTCATGAGAGTGTAGGGCTACTAGTATTCATTCTTCATTTTGCTTTTTAAAATAATTCTCATACCCGTGGGAAGTGGATTTATCATCACCTTACTCTGTACACACACAAAATTTGACTTTATGTTTTAAATTTGGTTTGAGGGGAGTGCTCACAGTGTGCACCATCAAGATTTCATGTTCATTCAGTTTCAGTGTGTGGCAGTGCAATATTTCAGTTGAGTTGCTCAGATAAGTATGGTTCTGTTCTGGGAGTTTTTCTTTAGTGTTTGCAATTTTATTTATTTTTTTTGGAGAGGGAATACTGAAAGCTATGGTATTTCATAACAGAGGGGCTTTCTGTCAATTGCTTTCGCCCTATCTGTCTGGACAAAATTATGTTTTTTAAAGGAATTCTTTTTTTTAACCATAGAATTATGCTACAAAAATTAAAGTGAACAGAAAATGTTACTTTTGTAGCAGAGTATTTCTGCTACATATTCACAGTGAAATTTGGTTTTCAAAGCCATTGCTGTGAGAGAAAAAAAATCAGCCCCAAAATTTGGTAAGTTAAAACAACAGAAATCAAAGGTCTCTTTCTCTGAAAAAAATCAATTACAGGTAACTGCTTTTAAGTGAAGATGCTGGTAGTTTTATTGGTTTCCTTAAATTGTCATGAGATGGACTGTTTTACTGATGATGTTTAAACGTTTAATTAATAGATTTATTAATGGCCTAAGTTTACCTGTCAAATTTTATCCTAGTGGATTGATGTAAATATATCAAGTATGTTTAAAGAACTATAGTTTTACAAACAGAAGTAAGGTAGTAATAATCTTAAGGCAGCATATTATATTTATACATACAGTACTTTGGATCTAGAATAATACATGGTTTTTATACATTCTTTTCAGTCACTGAGATTTCAGAAGACTCTATTTTTAAGTTGGCACTAAAATATCCATAGTGGTAGGTTTGTGTGATTTTTCAAGAATGGTACTTGACAAGGGATACACATCTTTGAGATTCTAGATGTCAAGAAAACAGTGCTTTCAGAATTAGTGTTTCATTTGTGTAATACATTTTTATTCAATTACTAATAAAACCACAAGTTAAAACATGCCTGTGATAAGACTTAGGTATTAGGTTCAGACAGTTCTAGGGGCATTATCTGAAAATAACTCAGTTTTTATATTTACAATATAACACGTATTCCAGTTTTTTAAAGGGGTACCATAATTTTTTAAACTGGAATGGTGTTTACATACTGGAACTAACACGCTGAAAAGTAGGGATCACCCCTTTGTCTGCTGCTATGAGTGCTAAACCACTAGGGGCCTGTATAAACTGCACTTAAACAGCAAATGCCATTTCACAGAATCTGCTCATGCTTTTGCTATAAAGCCATATTTGTACTTGTGCTCAGTTCCATAAAACTTAGCTTTATTTGTTTATTTTGAATTTATTGTGAATTGTGTAGTTTAATGTATTGGAATTATTAATTTTTATTTAGTTTTCCACTGGAAAACTGTATGTGAGGCTTGGAGATGGTCCTTGCTCCTTTCATAGTTTGGGAATTATGCTCTTTAAAATATGATCACCTTGAGAAAATAGAGGTCTGTATGTGTGTGTGTGTGTGTGTGTGTGTGTGTGTGTAATTCCTAACATAATGTTTAACATTACCAGATAAATGTTTAAAAAGACTTAG